TCATGCCCAGGGGTTCCAGAAAGTGGCAACAGATCATCCTCCTCCGTTTTTTTCAAAAGTGATGCAAAATCTATTCCTGATCTCAGGAAGTCAGAGTAAGTACCTTTTCCTACTTCCACACCCTAGGAATCACAAAATGGACAATAAGTCTACAAAGTGGGTTATTTCAGTGCAAAATCTTTCCAATTAAATGTATGCATTTGTAATAGTCTCTGGAGTCCCCACTTCCTGCTTCTGCTGAGCCAAACGAAAATAGCAGAGATCAGTAGCTGCCGCCACCATCCATTGATTTGAATGCTCCCCAAAGAAATGGGACATTGCTGGGATTCTACTGCCACTTCTCATCTCTGAGAGATTTTTCTTTTTCCTTCCCCCAACCCTGGGGCAGAGCTAGTAAAGGTAAAGTAAAGGTAAAAGGTTGGGGTTGAGAGAGTGAGTGATTCAAACCCTGCTGACAAATCTCGCCAAGAAAACCCTGCCTGAAGATATACAACAATGTTCTCCTGAAGGTATACAACAACAACACATTTTTATTAGAACTTTCCAAAATTCATATTTTTTTCATAGCAAGATTTGTTTTGGGGGGAGAGAAAATTTGGGAGGAAAAGCAAAACTGGGAGATTTGCCCATCCGAAGTTGAGGGTGGCGAGCTGGCCTCCCTCAGCCTCGCAAGCCCTCACTCACTAGGCAGAACTCCTGGACCTGGCTTTGGCAGAGGAGGGAAGAGGGAATGTATAAAAGCCAAGGCCGCCATGGCCCAACCCACTTGCTGCCTTCCCCTCCCAGGCCAAGGGTGGCCAGACTGCCCCCCAGGGAGAAGTGGGGGCAGTGAATGGTGAGGTGGCGGCTTTGTATGAGCCGGGGAAGGGGAGCCTCCCAGGAACCTATCCTGGACTCTCTACTCCTCCTCCTACTCTTCCTCGTGGCTCTGGGGAAACCATGTCTCCTCCATTGGCAGCACCCTCCTCTCTGTCCTGAAGGAAACCCAGTAGGTCTCGTCGCTCCAACAGCTGCTGCTCTGGCTCCCGAACTCAGTAAACTTCCTTTAAAAATCCAGAAGGGACCACTAGGTGCCCCTTTCTTCACGCTACAACAAGTCACTCAGGACTCGCAAACTAGATTAAACGCAAGTGGGGATACGCTCTTAGGGACATAAAATGCACTTTGTTTAACTTGGTCTAACATACAATTGTCATGCTTGATCAATGAAAGGTACATTTTATTCAGAATATAATTATAAATTTTGTTTATTTATTTATTTATTTGATAAATGGAGTTTTGTTGTTGTTATCTACCCTCGAGTTACATGACCACAAACTGTAAGAAACACCTGAACTATAAGGAATCTCTGATTTTGTCAGTTTGATGAGAAGACAAAAGAAAAACCCAAGGAAAAACAGAAAACATCATTAGTAAAACAGAGAAAATTAATTTGTCTCCACTAGTTCTCCAAGTAGACATAATGCATTTATTCCCATAAATAGAACTGAGAAAAGGAAAACAAGACCATTAATTGTAATGATTTCAGATATCGTACACAGTCTTACAAAAAGGGCGACCTGCTACATAATTTTTAGAAATTATTTTAGGACAGCAACTGTATGAACACTTTGTCTTATACATTTTGTTAAGGATTATAAAAGAAAAATAAATCTATAATCCATTTTTTTCAATTCCCCCTCCCACAAAAATACTTTGAAGAAAACTCCATTTATCTACAGGCGAAGGGGCAATTATGCCACAATTATGGGCTCCTATGGACTGCCTCCTGTTTTAAATAAGGCCACTCCTAAATCTAAAATGACATAAAGGGGGCAAAAATATGGTAATATTGCCCATCATACCCTTTAGAAGGTATTTTTCTCAAAGTTTGAGTTTTAGCAGGCCCTGAGGTCCTCAAAAACTGCCTCAGGGAAATACATGCATCCCATGCTCTGGGCTTTCCCACCCCTCTAATTCAATAAGTACCACAGGTCAGCTGGCAACTTCTAATGTCATACGTTGTTGTTGTTGTTGTTGTGTGCCTTCCAAGATGTTTCCGACTTATGATAACCCGAGGAAAACCATGGGGGTTTCTTGGCAGCATTGGTTCAGAGGAGGTTTGCCATTGCCTTCCCCTGAGGCTGAAAGAGTGTGACTTGCCCAAGGTCACCCAGTGAGTTTCCACAGCTGAGTGGGGATTCAAACCCTGGTCTCCAGAGTCATAGTCCAATGCTCAAACCACTTCACTACACTGGCTCTCTGTTGGCAAACTACAACTAGTATACTAAAGAAAATGTTCATAGTTCAATGCTCAAACCACTTCAGTACACTGTCTCTCTATTGGCAAACTACAACTAGTATACTAAAGAAAATGTTTAAAACAGCATTTCCCTACTTGACAAAATTTCAAGTTCAGAATGTCTCTTTTTCACCTCCCTTTTAAAATAACATCTAGAAAGAAATATAATAACCTATTTATAATCCATAGCTTACTTCTTTATTTATTCATTTGTTCACTCACTCACTCATTCATTATAGAGAGATATTTTCCCACAAAGTCCTACTTTTCCACTCACTGGGCTTCTGAATGTCATGCCAGTAGTGAAACCTCTGGCATGTCCTACCAAGTTGGAAGGGCTTCAGTTATAGCATGAATGCCATACTATACATTCCTCTTCAAGGCAAGTACAGAAGCTCATCAACAGAGCATTAGCTATCAAGTGATAAATTGGCCATAACTATGGACTTTTATCACACGGGGAAATTCTGTGCAGAAACGGGGTTTTAAATAAATAAAAAAACCCACAAAAGCAGGTAGATTTTCAGACTATGTCGATGTTAAATTGTTGTTAACCCAAACAGAAAGTAGTTAAAAGCCACTTCTTTTTACTTTCGGAAAATCCTGAAAGTAAAAAAGGAGTGGCTTTTGACTACTTTACATTCAGGTTAACAACAGTTTAACATCGACGTTAATACTTCAGCTTCCTCTATTGTTCCAAAGCAGCCTCCAGTGCTGAATAAGATATTCTCTCCTTTTCCTTAAAAATAGATCTTTTCAATTTTAAAAATTTAAAATACACATAATAATAAACCAAACATATTTCCACCTACCTCTTTTAAAATCAGGATCTGGTTTGCAGCCTGTAGATATTGAAGCTGGTGGGTCACTAAAATGCACACCTTTCTGTGCAAAGTCTGACAGATACATCTGCAAAGAGAAACAAATTGAGTGAAATTCTAACTTTCAAAGAAGTGCATTTTATTTCTTTAAAAATAAGAAATACAAATATTTTGATGTCTATCAGAACAATTTAGAGATTCAATCCTAATAATATGTGGATTGAAAAGCAGCATTAATTCTGTTATATTTCACTGCAACATTGAGCAAGTGAACAAATGAAGAGCAAAGGAAATTACCCTTCCAGTATGGTGGGGTCTCCTTCTTTGGAGGTCTGTCGGGGGTGCTTTGATTGTGTATTCCTGCATGGCAAAAGGCGGTTGGACTGGATGGCCCTTGTGGTCGCTTCCAACTCTATGATTCCATGATTCTACTGAACCAGGAAAACTGAACCAGGTCAAGGACTACAACCTGAACCATAACTGAACTCTGGAAAAAGAGATCAGTGTTTGGAAAAGATGCTTCCTTGGCCTATGGCTGCATCTGCACTGCAGAATTAATGCAGTCTGACATCACTGTAACTGCCATGGCTCAATGCTATGGAATAATGGGATTTGTAGTTCTGTGCAATATTTAACCTTCATGACAGAGCGCTCCGGTGCCACAGCAAACTACAAATCCCAAGATTCCAAAAGATGGAGCCATGATAGTTAAAGCAGTGCCAAACTGCATTGATCCTGTAGTGTGAAAGCAGCCTACAATTCCGACACCACCATTATCAGCATCCTCCAATATGATCATTGGCCATGCTAACTGGGACAATCTGTAAACTGTAGTTCAAAGAAGTTACTTTTCCAAGCCCTAGTCCTTTCTCTGGTAAGACTATCTGAAAAGATAATAGATTAAATCTTGAATCACAAAGCAGGTGAAGTTATCTGGTCTCAAAACTGCTCATTATAGGCTTTAAAGTAGACATTGTGGTGATACCTTCTTCAGGCCAACCTCAAGGCATTAGCTTTTGAAGCACACTAGCTTTTTCTTGAAATTGCCATTGGACTTTGAAAGCCAGTGTAATGAATTTTGTACCTTTTGATTGATCTAATATAGATATCACCAGAATGTGCAATTTGGGTTTTGTTTTATGGTCAATATGACTACTCCTGCATATATATCTTTCTTATTAGAGGCTTTGACCATCACACAAAACTTTTACAAAAAAAAACCCAAAACTTCTATTTCATTCCTCAAACTGGCTTGAATCTGAAGTTTCTGGCTCTGGACCCCTAGAACTGCCTTCGGTGCTATCCAAGGTATAAGTTTGGGCTAGGAGACACATCCCCAGTGTTCCATTTCAGGACTTACACATGTAATACACAATTACGCACATATAGCACAGATACGTATTTCAATTATATATGTCTAAACCTATTCACATGTGAGTAAAGCTTCACCCATATTCTATATAGCTATAATAGTAACATCAGTGTAGTAACAGAAAACTCTTTTGGCAGGATTTGCTCTGCTACTGGAACATGTTATTGTACATATGCAGTTCTCAGGTTTTAGGGTGGGGATCTAGTCTGCTGAGTCAGGAAGGCGGCAGCAGCATAACATCAGATGCAGGCAAGGCTCTATGCCAGACGTTATGCTTTATATAAGCAATCCATGGCTCTCTGAATGTGGTTCTACTAAAGTCAATGCAAAGCAAAAGTTCTAAAGTTAATTATTGTTGTTGTTGTTGTTGTTGTTGTATGCCTTCAAGTCGTTTCCATCTTGTGGCAACGCTAAGACGAACCTATCATGGGGTTTTCTTGGCAAGATTAATTCAGAGGAGGTTTACCATTGCCTTCCCCTGAAGCTGAAAGCATATGACTTACACTAGGTTACTCGATGGGTTTCATGGCCGACCTGGGAATCGAACCCTAGGTTCCAGAGTAGCAGACCAACACTCAAACCACTACACCATGCTGCCTCTCCTAAAGTTATACTGATCTCTTAAAAGACTCACAGCTTTTTGTCAAGCCCACTGAATTAAATCTAGTTTTCTGGGGGGGAGGGGGAGGAAAGGAAACATATTGATTTGAAGATCAAATTAGGAGTATGCTATAGCCAGTCCTGCATTATGTTTCCTGTTACAGCAAATGTTAAATATGTGTAACACCAACAAAACAAGGTAGTTGTTTATTTCCCATCTTATAGTGCAATACTGTTTTTTTTTTCACAGTAGTTTCTAATCTTGCTTTGGGGGTGGGGGGGAGATGGAAATTTAGTCCAATTTAGAAACCCATCACATCAAACTTGGCACCCAGTTATCTCAAGGAAGTGATCTATTTTTCTCAACTTTCTCCTGTATCTAGGAAACATAAAAGATGCAACGCACCAAAAAGCATACTGGTCTAAACAGCATAAAGGATCTATTGCAATACAAACCATTATTTTGACTCATAAATAAATGAATTAGTATGCGTTCCTATTCAGGAAATGTGTGCTTTATAAAATGGAAAATCGAAGTAGACTGATTTTTAGTATTAATCTGTTATGCTACCAAGTCCTGCTGACAGTGTCATTTGTGGCATACTTTGCTGCACATTGCCTCCTCAGCAAACACCACCTCTTCCTCATACTGATAAATTTGCATTTCAGCATAATCAAATTATACTTTTAAAAATTACAATACAATATTGACAAACTCCACTACAGGTGATATTCTATTTAAAACCAGTAAACATGTATACCCAAACTCTTATTTCCTGAAGTAAAGAACAGAGTTTGGAAAAGTTAGATTTTTAGATGATCTAGATCTAGCAAGAGAAGTGACCATGTTGCTTGGGCTATTCTGACAGCTGTACTCCCCCCCCCCCCCCCCCCGAAAACCTTTTTATAAACTCTGGCAATGAATATCAAGGGATGAGGCAGTACTGAACAGGTTTGAACCCATTTCTGCCCCATGATGCTCCTCTACAAATGCTGACCCCTAACATCAGTGTTATGATCCAAACAAGTGCAAGGAGACAAGTATGAGGACTCAACATCTAAACAGGACACACAACTAGTGCTTTTAGGGTCCAAAACACACTGCAGAAATAATCCAGTGTGAGACCACTTTAACTGTCCTGGCTCAATGCTAGGGAATTCTGGGAACTGTAGTTCTGTGAGACATTTAGACTCCTCTGTCAGAGAGCTCTGGTGCCACAATAAACTACAATTCCCAGGATTCCCTAGCACTGAGCCACGTCAGTTAAAGCAGTCTCAAACTGGATTATTTCTGCAGTGTGTTTTGGACCTAGGTTAAACTTTAACTCAGGTATGGGCAGTTACCCTCACTTGTACACACATAGAAAATGATGCCCTTCATCCCTGAATTATTTTGCAAAAGCTGTTTGTTTTTCAAAAATGGTTTAAGAAGCTCCCCTGTGCATCCCCTAGAGCAGGGGTAGGCAACCTAAGGCCCGGAGGCCAGATGCGCCCCCCCGAGACCTTTGGACCGGCACCAGGCAGGTCCTGACGCCGCCATCGCCACCGCCCGCCATGATGATATTGATTACTGTTGTTATTACTTGTTCTTGGGGTTTTCTTGGCAAAATGTTCACAGGGATTTTGCCATGGCTTTTCTGGGGCTGAGAGAGTGTGCATGCATATTTTTTTAATTTTTTATTTTTTTTTAAATCATTTTATTTATTTATTTATTTATTTATTTATTTATTTTTGGTGCTTCGGCCCCCCCAATTGTCTGAGGGACAGCAACTGGCCCCCAGCTCAAAAAGGTTGCCTACCCCTGCCCTAGAGGATGGGAGGGAAATTTCACCAAGTTTTGGAGGTTCTCATTTGTTCCAGGAGAAGCCTTTTTCTCAACCAAAAGTATCCAGAAGTCACTTTCCGTTTGGAGAGAAATCCCCCCCGACTAAAAACAAAAGCAAGTGACCAAAATGTGACAAATGTCCCCCCCCCCTTTGACCCCTAGAGGAAGCTAAGGGGCTTTTCCAACCCAAACAATGAGGAGGCTACATGTTACCTATCCCTGCTTTAACTGAAAATGTTAAGTGGCTTTTTTAAGGTATTGTGCAAATTTACAACTATGACAAGTGCAAAACCCAAAATGCCTTGAAATTAAAGCTGCAAAAAATGCACAATATACAAGAGTGGCCCTTCAGCCTTTCAATTGCCTTTTCAAACTAAATAATGTGATGTTTGCTATTGCTCTTTTGGGCATGGCCTGTGAAATACATGTAATGCCCTACACAACATTTTAAAGCACCTTTTGGAAACATACATACACCTACATTATCTAATTGCAAAGGCAAAACTGAAAAGCTTGGAAAGGGAGACCACTGTAGTATAAAAAAGCCACTTACCCATTCTTCTTCACGCTACTATTATGCTCTAGTATGGTTCTATGGTATGTAAAGCAACATCACCAGTTGCATATGTGTACCACAGGGCAAATCTATTCCCAAGATTAAATCAGTAGAATTTTGACCTCGGTAGACCTGAAATGATAAAATTAATTTTAAAATGTTGAAGGCACATACATATATACAGAAAACATTCTGTACATATGTACAACATTCACCTTATTGTAAAGTAAAACGTAAAGGTATTCCCCATTGACAAGGTTGTCAAGTCATGTCCGACCATAGGGGGCAGTACTCATCTCCGTTACTAAGCCGAAAAGCCAGCATTGTCAGAGACTAATCTGTGATCATGTGGTCAGCATGATTGCACAGAACACTGTTTACCTTTTTACCGAAGTGGTACCTATTTATCTACTTGCGTTTGCATGCTTTCGAACTGCTAGGCTGGTAGAAGCTGGGACTAGTGACAAGAGCTTACCCTATCGTGCAGCACCTGGGCCTCGAACTGCCAACCTGCCAATCTTGCAATCTTATTGTACTAACCAGATATAATGTATCCTTTTATAAAAGACCCAGACTTTCAGAAATACACAACAGAGGAGGAAAGAAGTGAGAAGGGAACTGTAAACAATTTCTGAAATTCTATCATCACATGAGAACATCTGTAATATATTTGATTTCCTATCAGAAACCAGGGGATTCTGCTTGGATTAAGATTAATGGGGGGGGGGGATAAAAAGTATAAAACTAGTGCTCTTCCCAAATTCTGAATCACAGTTTTATACTAGAGATGCGTGAGAAACTCCAATGTTTGTGAGCTGCAATACAAACTGACCTAATCTACATTTCCCAGACTAAACTGCAGGTGGAAATTAATTATCCACTGAACATCTACGTCAGTGATTCCCAAACTCTGGCCTTCCAGGTGTTTTGGACTTCAGTTCCCAGAATCCCATACTGTTGGCTAAGATAGCTGAGGTTTCTGGGAGCTGAAATCCAGAACACCTGGAAGGCTAGAGTTTGAGAATCACTGATCTACATTTTCCAAATGTTCTGATACAGCTAAATTAGAAATTTTGCACAGTAAATGTTTAGATGAGGACATATTATGAAATTCAATCAAAAAACTGAAAAGCTAAAAGATACATAAAAGGTTACATACTTTTCAAACAGATGCCTGCTAACTTCTGCATCTACTGCACTTAGTGGATCATCCATGAGGTAGATGTCTGCATCCTGATACACGGCTCTAAAAACAAATGGAAAAAAATAGCAATAGACACTGGCAAAATACGTTAGTATCCATGAAGGGTTTCTTATTTCTTTTTCAAGACCATCTAATAACCAATGTGTGAACCATACTAATAGTCCCAACTAGAGCAGATGCTTTGACTCAATTGCTGAATGGACACTTTTGTTAATCTCATCAATTCAACAGGTCTGCTCCATTTGGAAGTTAGAGTAGAAAAAGTGTTTCAAAACAGATACTGAGAGGGACAGGGAAGTTATGAGTCAGCACAGTATCTCTCATTTATTCTAAAATGTCTGCACTGCCTATGAATTTATTCCCAAGCCTTATTCAGTTTCTATCTTTAAAGGTATAGATAGCCCGGACTACATTTAATTGCTAGTCTCAACTAGAGCAGACCATCTGAATCAATAGTTTAATGGCAAGTCAATGTACATGTTTCAATGGGTTTACTCTAGTCAGTAACTATTTTTAGGTATATGGGTCCTAATAATGTCAGAAACAGTCTTTTCCTCTAAGGGCCCCATGGCACAGACAAAACCTTGCTTTGGTGCCAGTTTATAAACAACCTTATGTTGGCCTCCAAAAGCAACAGGTCCCTCTTGATGCCAGCCAACTTCAATCTGAAGCTTTCACAGGACAGAGCTGCATAGCTTTTTTCCTACTGTCCTTTTAAAGGTAGGTTAAAATATCTTTCTTTTACAAAGCCTTTAAAATCCCCAGTCCACTCTCTTCTGCTTGTTTTGTGCTGCTTAAAAAATTTTTCATTAGACTTATGTTTTATATTTCCTGATGTTACTGTTTGATTTTTTTCTCAATACTACTGATACACAAACACACACACACACACACACACACATGAATGAATTAATGGTATATCAATGTTTAATAAAATGATAAAAGTCATGTCTGTTACTAAAATGGTTCACGTCTAAGCAGAAGTCATTTTACAGCTTATCTATCTGGGCCAACCATACCTTTAGACAGAGTTAGACATTGTATGCCAGTAGATTTCGGACATTGTGAAACAGTAGCAAATTGTTACTGATTTAACTCATCACTTTCTTTTTATTGCTAAGGATGATGAGAACAACCTGGCTAGATTTGGGCAATGCACACCTTGATTTGGGTGGGTGTTGGGGGATTACAGATGCTCCTCTGCCTCAGATGTCAAAGTATCTTTGGCTAGTCATGGCATCCATCAATCTGGACATTCGCTACCATCTGTAGACTAAAGACTATAATAAAAAATGCAGGAGCCTCTTTACCTGGCAAGATTAACCCTCGCTTTCTGCCCTCCACTCAGCGTAACTCCTCTATCTCCTATCATTGTCAGGTCTCCATCTCCCAACATTTCCATATCCTAATAAA